GAAAGGAAAACGCCCCTTGGGCCTGGAGAGTATCTCGGCAGTAAGAGGGCCTAGATGTGGTTCCCAGTACTCCCTCCCCCACGTCAGGCAGCTGTAGCTTCAGCTACAGGCGATCTGACATCTTCTAGCCCCTGGGCAGCTACACATGTGTGGCAAAACATACACACAGGCATATACAGAAAGAAAAATAAGATCTTGGGAAAAGATGCCCCCCTTTCTAGCTGTTCCTCTCATCTAAAGAGTGAGTGTTTCACCAACGCAGCAGAATCCTCTCCCTGTGGCCAAGAGATGCCACCCAGTGCCAAATACTTCAAGGTCAAGGCAGCTGGGGCCTAAGAATAAAGCAGGGATTGGCCCACATGGTCAACACAGCAGAAGCCCAGGGGACTGGGAAGGGGGCGCGAGTGAGAGGTGCTAGATCAGAGGAGGCTGGCAGGTAGATGCTGGACTGATACTCTTAACAGTGGGCTGCATCCGTAACATCGTACCAAACTACCTAAGCTGTCCTTGGATTCTCTCTTTAGCCCAGGCTGGCCTTGTAGTTATTGATAATTTTTAAAATTTATTTATGTATTTTATGTGTGAGTGTTGTATCTGCCAGAAGAGGGCATCAGACCCCATTATAGATGGTTGTAAGCCTCCATATGGTTGCTGGGAATTGAACTCAGGACCTCTGTTTTTTGTTGTAGTTGGTTTTGTTTGTTTGAGGCAGGGTTTCTCTGTAGCTTTGGAGCCTGTCCTTGGAACTAGCTCTTGTAGACCAAGTTGGCCTCGAACTCATAGATATCCTCCTGCCTCTGCTTCCCGCGTGCGCCACCACCATCCGGCTGAACTCAGGACCTCTGGAAGAGCAGCCAGTGCTCTTAACCACTGAGCCATCTCTCCAGCCCTGTTTGTAAATTTTTTATTACATTTTATTATATATGTTTTGTGCATGTGAGTGTGTGCATGCATGCATGCTTGCTTATAGGGGAGCATTGTGTGTTTGTGTCTGCATGCAATGCAGCCAGAGAACAGCTTTAGGAGTTCTGTTTTCAACTTCCACTATGGGATCTCTGGAAAGAATTTAGGTCGTCAGGTTTGTTCATAAAGTGCTTTCACCCTTTGAACCCCCTCATGGCCTATGCTCGCATCCTCAACTTGGCTTGGCCCGGAGCACACTGACTACAGAGGGTACAGGATCACCTCTCTAGAGTGGGGATGGCATCCAGCTGAAGGTCTGCACTGGGGCTGGAGAGATGGCTCATCAGTTAAGAGCATTTCTGCTCTTCCAGGCAACTCTCATTGGTTCATAAAAAAGAATTAAGTAGGAAAAAGATCTCTGTTTTCAGTCTGTGTAAATGTATCAAAAAACAAAAACCGATGCCAGCAGGAGGGGGGACCATCAGAACTGGGGTACCCATCTCACAAGTTCTGTGTAAGGCAAGTGTTTCAAGGCAGCCAGAAGAGATAAAGTGGCCGGGACATCTGGGCGCTGCCTGCATCCAGAAAAGACGGCGGGGACTACCCTGATCCCTGGAGTCTCCTTTCTCTCCTAGAGCACACCCTGAACACTGGACTCAAGGCGCCTTCCGGCCCTTACTTCCCCAGTGCTGGGCTTGCAGGGCCCCACAGCTGGCTTCCCGCTCGCCTTTGACATTTGAGTCAGGGTCTCATCATATGCTCCCATCCCTACTCATTCTGTAGCTGGGGTTGACCTTGAATTTGTGACCCTACTTCTTCACCCTCCCAGGTGGCTGGGAGACAGGCATGTGACAGCAGATCTGGACTTTTATTTTCTGTCAGTCTGCTAGAATCTTTGTAACATTGTACTGTGTATAATACTTGCTTGCTTATTCTCTTTTTTTTTTTTTTCTTTTTCGAAACTGGGTTTCTCTGTGGTTTTGGAGCCTGTCCTGGAACTAGCTCTTGTAGACCAGGCTGGTCTCGAACTCACAGAGATCCGCCTGCCTCTGCCTCCCGAGTGCTGGGATTAAAGGCGTGCGCCACCACCGCCCGGCCTAGCTTATTCTCATGCCTGTACTCTACACTGGACGTTCATCCTGACTTAACCAGAAAGGCCACCCCACGCTTGTCCCTATGAAGAACCACACCCACCCATAGGTGGCGCTAGAACATTGGTTCTCAACCCGGGGGTCTCATATCAGATGTTTAGGTTACAGTTCATAACAGTAGCAAAGTTAGTTATGAAGTAGCTACAAAATGATTTATGGTTGGGGTCACCACAACGTGAGGAACTGTATTAAGAAGGGTCACAGCATTAGGAAGGTTGAGAAGCTCTGGTCTAGAACTTTCTACTTCCTCAAACCTCCTTCAGGTGCTGTTTCTCCAGTATGATCTTCCTCGAGGCCAAGTTCCTGATCGTGGCTGTGTGAGTGTGAAAGTCACCCAGACCTGTTTCCCAGGCTGGTTTCTTGCTTGTGATTGACATTTGACTACGGAGTCAGAGCACACCACTTCTCCACAGCCCCTGCCATTGCCTCCAGGAGGTTTTTCTGCATCCTGCTGTGATGTCAGAATTTCAGGATTGGAGCCACACATGGTGGCGCACGCCTTTAATCCCAGCACTCGGGAGGCAGAGGCAGGCGGAGTGAGTTCGAGACCAGCCTGGTCTACAGAATGAAAGGAGAAGGAGAAAATGAGTAAATTTCATTTTGTTCTTTTTGCTTTTGTTTTTCTTGAGACAGGGTTTCTCTGTGTATCCCTGGCTGTCCTGGAACTCATTCTGTAGACCAGGCTGGCCTCGAACTCAGAGATCCGCCTGCTTCTGCCTAGTGCTGGGGTTAAAGGTGTACGCCACCACCACGTAGCATTATAAATTGTTTTATTATAAAAATTAATTTTATTTTTTGGTTACAAGAATCTTGCCTGGATGTACGTTTGTGCAACACAGGTGTGCCTGGTGCCCAGGGAAGCCAGAGAGGCATCTGATCCTCTAGAACTGAGTCATGGGTGGTTGTGAGCCGCCGTGTGAGTGCTGGGACTGAGCCTCTGGTAGAGCAGCCAGTGCTCTTATCCTCCAGTTCTGGCCCCCAAATTTAAATGGCCTAGGCATGGTGGCATCTACCTGTCACGTCCAGCACTCTGGAGGTGGAGGCAGGAGGATAAATTCAAGGTTACTCTCAACCTCATAGCTTCAGAGACCAGTTTGGGCTTTTTGAGCCCTGGTACAGTGAACATCAAGTATAGTGCTGTTGGCTGATTGGTCACTGCAGACACCACTGTCCCCTCACAGGTGTTCAGAGGGACTGCCGTGGACAGTATAAAGTCGATCAGGATGTGCCTGCTGGGCCGACAGGGGCACTGATAAGAGGACAAGAGCCCCTACTTAGTTCTCTCTTGTTTTCAGATGGCACGTGTGTGGGCTTGCAGCTAGAGCACACATGTAGAGGTCAGGTGACTTTGTGGCACTGGCTCTCTCCTTCCGTGTTTCTGTGTGACACAGGCATTGCACGCAGGTCATTGTCTCATTGCCTCTGCAAGGCAAGCCCCTCCACCCCGAGCCATCTTATGGCCCTCGATTTCTGTTTCTGAGACAGGGCCCTTCTCAGCCCTTGCTGTCTGGAACTTGGGTCAACGCACTCCCCCTCACCTCAGCCTTCTGAGTACTGGGATTGCAGGGGTGGGAACCTGGTTCACCTCTCTCTGGAGCACACAGAGAGCAGAGTGACTTCTGACCTGTCATGTGTCCCCACACTCGGGTCTGGAGAGGGTGTCACCCCGTGTCGCCCCGCTGCACGCTGCAGAGCCTCAGTCTTCGTTGTTTTTTATTTTGGTTTTTGTGTGTTTGGTTTCCTTGAAGAGCTGTGGTTAACCCAGGGCCTCTTGCATGCTAGGGAAGTTCTGTGCCTGTGCTCTGCCGGGCCACATCTGAGGTGACGTGCCTGCTTCACAGTACCCGGCCTGGCTTGGTTCTTCATTTTAAAATAATCAGTTAATTTGTTGCATGTGTGTGTGAGAGAGAGGGAGTATCTCCTGGGGCTGCAGTTACAGAACTTGTAAGCTGGAGTATCTCCAGCTCTATTTTTTTATTGCAGAGAAGTATGAATAATTGAGTAATTATCAAAACAGTTTTGAATATAAAGATATGATATTGGGTTAAAATGGGAAATGTGGTGAAAATATAAGTTCATGGAGAAAAGCGGACCTGTAAAATTCATTTTTGTCGAACTAGCTTTTTAAGACTTTACTATGTATACAGTGCTCTGCATGCATGCTTGCAGGCCAGAAGAGGGCGCCAGATCTCAGTACAGATGGTTGTGAGCCACCATGTGGTTTCTGGGATTTGAACTCAGGACTTCTGATAGAGCAGCCAGTGCTTCTATCCTCTCTCCAACCCCCAAAACAGCTTGTTTAAGAGTTTGCATGTATGTGGGTTTTTTTTTTCAGATGTGTAGTGGAAATCATCAAACCACTGTATTTAGATTACACCAGCTACATTTTCAAAAACAGTAGAATGATGTTATTCTAAAATCTCCAGGGTGGAGAGATGGCAGAGATTAGCAATGACCGCCGCTCTGCTAGAAGATGTGGGTTAGATCCCAGCAGCCACATGGCCACTCCCAGCCACCTGTAACTCCAGCTGCAGGGGACCTGTCACCCTCTTCTGGTCTCTGAAGCTCTCCTTGCAGGTGATGCATATTCAGACAAGCAGGCGCACACATAGACACATAAAACATGTTTATTTTTTCACAGGTAAAATGCTTTTATTATGTACAGATCACATTCAAATAAAGCATCACCTCTGGACACAAGAGCCAGTCCTGGCTTTTCTGTGAGCCCCCAAGAAAGTATAAACCATAGCCTCTAAAGAGTTCCTTCTCTAGCCAGGTGTGGGTGCGCACACCTTCCCCTTTAATCCCAGAACTCAGGGCAGAGGTAGGTGGAGCTCTGTGCGTCTGAAGCCAGCCTGGTCTATAAAGCCAAGTTCCAGGACATCTAAGGCTATTAGAGAGATACCCCCCTCAAAAATAAAATAAAAAAGGGAAAAGAAATAAAAAAGAAAAACAGTTCCTTCTGATGAAGGAGAGAGTGAGTATGTGTGTAAAAGCTGATTCTATGGCACCTTGCCAGCATCGTCTGAAACAATACACTCCTTGTCTGGGGATGCACACCACTCAGTCAACCTCCATCTTCTTATTCTGCAAAGAATCAACAAAGGATTGCCACTCTGTTGGGTAAAAACGCTTATAGACATTGATCTTATTCCGAATCTGTTTTGGGGTATCTTGATAGTAATTCTTTTCATCCCGGGCCATAGCCTTATAGTCTTCCCCATGATTTTCCACCATGTAATGAACATATTCAATGAGGTCCCGAGACAAGGTATTTCCTTTCTTTTCTGGGAGGCTGGCTTCTGCTTCCAGGTCATTTACCACGTAGGGCTTCCGTACAAGGTCCTTGGGTCTCTCCTCCACGTCTACCTCCATGCCCTTTACCTTTCTCTTTCGGAGGGGAACCGCTTTGTTGGGGTCCATGGCCAACCCCATCTCCGCCAGGTTCTGCTGCACGGATTTGGTGTGGTCCCAGGCATGTCGAATGTAAGAGCACTCGATCCGTGGAGCTGCCTTCCAACGAGCATTCCGGTTCAGACGCTTTCGGTTGACATTGTAACCGAACTTCTGCCTCCGAGTCTTTCCCTTGGCCTTGGGCATATTGCAGACTGCCGCACCAGGAGCTCAAACTCAGAAGCAGAAGCTCTAACTCTTGACCACACTACCAGAACCGCGTGTTAACAGGCTCTGCGCGCAAGCAAGCGTGCCCATAAAACATGTTTAAAAGTCAGAGTTTCACCAGCCGGTGGTGCACGCCTTTACTTTTCTTTTTCTTTTGGTTTTTTGAGACAGGGTTTCTCTGTGGTTTTGGAGCCTGTCCTGGAACTAGCTCTTGTAGACCAGGCTGGTCTCGAACTCACAGAGATCCGCCTGCCTCTGCCTCCCGAGTGCTGGGATTAAAGGCATGCGCCACCACCGCCCGGCTTGGTGCCTTTAATCCCAGCCCTCAGGAGGCAGAGGCAGGTGGTCTGAGGCCAGCCTGGTCTACAGGATGAGATTCTGTCTCAAAACCAAAAGTTAGTAGCTGGTGCTGCCTGATTTTCCTTCCTCCCTGCTTCAGACTTGTACTGCTGAGGCTCAGGCTGTGCCTGGGGAGTTGATGAGGCATCTGGGGCAGGCTGCTGTTGTTGTGGGGTATCCTGGGGTCACCCCAGCCCAGCCGTTGCCCCTTTCTCCCACAGGATGACGCGGCACGGCAAGAACTGCACTGCAGGGGCTGTCTACACCTACCACGAGAAGAAGAAGGACACAGGTACCGTTGGGGATCTCTCTCACCTCTGGTTTCCCCTCTGTGGGGCTTGGCTGTTTGGCTCCTCTGTTGTCCTATTCTGCCCTTGAATGCCCTGTCGTTGCCCTGTGTGTACTAAGGATGGTGACCACAGGTAGCAGGGCCATGTGGCTCATCTAACACATCCCTGGATACCACCTTTGCAGAAAGGAAGGCTGAGAGCCACAGTGGGGGGAGCCAGCCATGACCCTCTTTACCCCTCTGCCCCACTGTGAGGGAGCAAGGCTGACGTAACCGTGGCTTTCTCAGGTTCCACTCAACCCCACATTTCCTTGGGCATCTGGTGAAAGGTATGTCCGCATCCATCACCACCTTTCTCTGTCCGCAGCGGCCTCAGGCTATGGGACCCAGAACATTCGACTGAGCCGGGATGCTGTGAAGGACTTTGACTGCTGCTGTCTCTCGCTGCAGCCCTGTCATGATCCTGTGGTCACGTGAGCAGGGGAGGGGCAGCAGGGCAGCTGGTGTGTGTGGGTTCACCCTCTCAGAGCCGCAGAGCTATCTCCAGAGACAGGCAGCTGCTCTTCCACCACCAGTGGAAAGAGTACATTGCTAACAGCTGGGGCTGGGCTCGGCAAGTGGAGTGCTTTCCTAGCCTGCAGGAAGCTCTGAGTTCTCAGTGTCACAGAAAACCAGGTGTGATGCACTCAGGCAGCGCAGACGGAGGATGGGGGTTCAAGGCAAACCTCAGCTACATAGCAGTTTAAAGCTAACCTGAGCTGCAGAACATCATGTCCCACAATAAAATGAAAGGAAATGGACTGAAGGGAGACCATGGGAGATGTCACCTAAGGATGTGTAGTGGTACCCAGGGTAGGGAGGGCGTGGATGGATGCTGGGGTGAGGATGCTCGATAGTGGTACCCAGGGTGTGTATGAATGGGTGGATGCTGGGATGAGGATGCTCGATGGTGGTACCCAGGGTGGGTGTGAATGGGTGGATGCTGGGGTGAGGATGCTCGATGGTGGTACCCAGGGTGGGCATGAATGGATGGATGCTGGGGTGAGGATGCTCGATGGTGGTACCCAGGATAGGGAGGGCATAGATGGATGCTGGAGTGAGGATGCTCGATGGTGGTACCCAGGGTGGGTGTGAATGGGTGGATGCTGGGATGAGGATGCTCGATGGTGGTACCCAGGGTGGGTGTGAATGGGTGGATGCTGGGGTGAGGATGCTCGATGGTGGTACCCAGGGTGGGCATGAATGGATATAGAAGTGAGTGGATGCCATCTTGTGATGAAGCCCAGGCCCACGCTTTCCTCATCCCCTCTCTGCAGCCCAGATGGCTACCTCTATGAACGGGAGGCAATCCTGGAGTACATCCTACACCAGAAGAAAGAGATTGCCCGGCAGATGAAGGTGATGGGTGCCGAGGAGAAGGGAAGGGACTCAACGGGGCAGTTCCTTTTCTCTGCCTGGAGCACCATTCACTTCCACTTCTGTCCAGATGTTTCCAGGCAGCATCTGTGTTGCCCTCCTCTAGGCCAGGATCTCTGGGGCCCACCCTGCTCTAGGAACCTGAGACCCCTGTGTGCCTACACCCTCTGCTGTGCTTTGCTGGGCTGCACTCTGCAGGAGCAGCTTCCTTGGCTCTCCTTGGCTCCAGGCACATGGTGGGGGTGTGTGGTGTACAATGCCCTGTCATCTGTGCGATAACCGCCAGAGGGCCCCACCGAGCAAGTGGGAGACACAGATCTCTCTAGGTGCCCACGGTGACTCTGGTCCTTCCTTCACGGTCTGGCTTTCTGGCGCTCAGGACACTGAGGGGTTGTTTTGTTTTTGCTCGGGCCAGGGCTGGAAGCCAGCCCTCACCGGCCGAGGCTTTGCAATGCTCCTGCTTCCCACCGCTGGCCCCAGCGTGCTCAGACTCCATGTCCTCCCCTCAGCCCCGTCGCCAGCCCCCCCCCCCCCCCCGCCCCCCCCCCCCCCCCCCCCCCCCCCCCCCGCCTCCAATCCTGGCGCCACTGTCGACACCTGCTGGGTGCCAGGGGGACTGAGCAAGGAGCGGACCTTTCCTGTTCTGGCCACACAGGACAAAGCACACTGTACTGGTCATAGACTTCCAAGCCAAGCTCCCTGTGGCAGGACAGGGGTTCCCTGGCCAGCTCGCATTCTTTCTTGAGCGCTTAGTGTGTGCCTCTCAGTTTCAGCACTTTGGAGGCCACCCCGTGTGGCAGGAGATGTAGCTGTGTGTAGAGTGCTTGCTTAGTGTGCACGAAGCCCATGGTCCCACACCCAGCACCTAATACCAGATGTGGTGGGACATGACTTGATTAGTGGAAAATCAGTTCAGGGTCACCCTTGAGTTCCAGGCCAGCCTGGGCTGCATGAGCCCCCCCGTCTCACCTTGAGCAGGCCCTCCCAACAGGAAGACTCTGGGTCCCACTCTATCTGAGTAGGAAGCCAAGGACTCAGAAAGGCCAGGGCCACCTTATCACACAAAAGCAGCAACCGTTGCCAGCCCCTGCCAGAGCTGCTCAGGGCTCCATCCTCCCGCTGGTGGGTGCTGAGCCAGGCCCTCTTCCCCTAGGCCTATGAGAAGCAGCGAGGAGCCCGCAGGGAAGAGCAGAGACAGCTTCAGCGAGCAGCAGCCGAGGACCAAGCTCGAGGCTTCCTGGAGAAGGAGGCAGCCATCGTGAGCCGGCCCCTCAACCCCTTCATGCCCAAGGCTGCCACCTTACCCAACACAGGTGACAGGGAACACCTACCCTTCGCCAGGGGTCTTGAGGGGATGACTTCCTGAGGTGTGTACCCCAGCTTCTCTCTCCACAGATGGTGAGCAACCAGGGCCCAGCACGGGTCCCCCAGGGAAGGAGAAAGACAAAGTGCTGCCCAGCTTCTGGATTCCCTCCCTTACGCCTGAGGCAAAGGCCACGAAGCTGGAAAAACCAGTGAGCTCTCAGTGTCCCAGCCCCTCGTGCCCCTTACATGTTGACCCCTGTCCTTCCATCTCTGTTGACCCTTCCTCTGCCTGCAGTCCCGCACCGTGACTTGCCCAATGTCTGGGAAGCCACTACGCATGTCAGACCTGACGCCGGTGCGCTTCACGCAGCTGGACGACTCCGTGGACCGCGTGGGGCTCATCACACGCAGTGAGCGCTACGTGTGTGCAGTGACCCGAGACAGCTTGAGCAACGCCACGCCATGCGCAGTGCTGCGACCCTCGTGAGTAGGGTTGGGAAGGAGAGTCTGGAGGCATCCCAAGATGCCCTAGGGCTGACCTTCGCCGTGTCTCCCTGCAGTGGGGCTGTGGTCACTCTGGAGTGTGTGGAGAAACTGATTCGGAAGGACATGGTGGACCCCGTGAATGGGGACACGCTGACAGAGCGCGACATCATCGTGCTGCAGCGGGTGAGTTGCCAGTGCACACCCCAGCCCCTGCCCCCACCTTGTACCTGTCGCACCCCGCGGCGTCCTCCACCCTACCCTCCTCCCGCCACTACCCTCTTCACACACGCTTGGGTCCCACAGCACCTTGTGTTTTTCTTTAGCTCCTCCACATTTTCCTGTGCTTTCCTCCATCCCGGGACTTCTCCCCACAGTCCCTCCTGTGTCCCAGGTCCCCTCCATCCCCTGCCCTGAGACTTATTTTTCCCTGGTCTACATAGGAGCCCAGCAGGCTCCCCCAGCTTGTTCTTCTCCTCCTTTCCAGGGCGGGACAGGCTTTGCAGGCTCAGGAGTGAAGCTGCAGGCGGAAATGTCCCGGCCAGTGATGCAGGCCTGAGCTATGACCTAATAAACCTGCCTGTAAACCGACTGATGTCTGGTGCCTCACTGTACAGAAAGAGAGGGCTTGGGGTAGGGGCCACTCCAGTCCTGGGCCCTCAGCTCCTGGAAATTGACTCTAAGCAGGGACAGGAGCCTATCAGTCATGTCACCTCCAGGCTCAGTCAGGGTCAAAGGGTGGGCTCAGGGCATAGCACATTCCCAGGCCAGCTAGCGGAAGAGCCCTCCAGGCGTGGAGCTGCCCCTATGTGCCCTTAACTGCAAGCAAACCTGCAGACCCAAAGCAGGTGGCGCACACTCTTAATCCCAGCACTCCTGAGGCCGAGGCAGGCGGATCTCTGAGTTCAAGGCCAGCTCTGGTCTACAGAGCGAATCCTAGGATACCTGGGATTACACAGAGAAACCCAGTTTGGAAAAACCAAAACCAAAAAATAAAAAAGGAATCCCAACTTCCTGAGTGTGTCCAGCTTTCCTCTGTATCACCCCCCCCCCTCCCCAGCCCTCTGAACTTGTTTTGTTTCTTTGGTTTTGGTTTTTTGAGACAGGGTTTCTCTGTAGCCTTGGAGCCTGACCTGGAACTAGCTCTTGTAGACCAGGCTGGCCCCAAACTCACAGAAATCTGTTTGTCTCTGCCTCCTGAGTGCTGGGATTAAAGGCACGTGCTACCACCGCCCTGCATGAACTACTTCAAAAGTAACACAGGCCTACCTGCACCCCCAGCTCCAAGTAAAACGTAGCTTCCTTTTTCCTTTTCTTTTTGTGCGGGGAAGGGCACATACTAAGAAAGTGTTCAAGAGTTCCTATCTTTTAATTTTAAAAATGTTCTGTGTATGGGGCTTGGGGGAGGGCCTAATAACCTGTGTGAGCCGCTGGAGCCTGAGTTCCAGCGTGGACAGCCTCGTTGAGCCGCTGGGAGCAACCTCTGCTCCCCTGTGCAGCCCCAAGTGTCTCATCTCAGGTAGCCTGGGTTGGTGGCCCATGCTTTCATCCTAGCACTCAGGAGCTGAAGCAGGAGGATTGCTGCAAATACTAGCCTAGCCTGGCTACATAAGACTGGCTCATGTCTTTAATCCCAGAGCTTGGGAGGCAGAGGTAGGCCTGGTTCACAGAGCTACCTCAAGGACAACCAAGGCTACACAAAGAAACCTTGTCTCTGGAGAAACAAAACAAAAGACTGTTTCAAAAATAAGAGAGAATGGGCTGGAGAGATGGCTCAGTGGTTAGGAGCACTGCCTGCTCTTCCAAAGGTCCTGAGTTCAATTCCCAGCAACCACATGGTGGCTCACAACCATCTGTAATGAGGTCTGATGCCCTCTTCTGGCCTGCAGGCATACCCGCAGACAGAATATTGTGTACATAATAAATATATATATATATATACATATATATATATTTAAAAAAATAAGAACATACATATATGAGTCCTGAAATCTGGGTAAATTGTTGATGGAGAAACACTGGCTGCGCAGTAATGAGGTAACTGTGGTAGAAAGATGTTTTTAGTATGTGGTGTCTTGTATATTTATATTTGTATATTTATAACTTGACATCCTGAAGTCTATTGCCAATATTTAAAAATAAAATGTATTCCAGGCAGGGTGTTATGTGCCTGTGTTCTCGATCCTCCTACCCTCACTGCCAATGTCTCACATTCCCAGCGTGCATCAGGGCACCCCGATCTTTCCTGTGTGCATAATTTACTGCTTTGTGTATTATTTTGGTAAGATTTTGTTCACCATACAATCTCCCTAAGATTTAGAGGGCCTTTTGACTGGTAAGTCTCTGTCCACTTGTGACCACTAGAGGGCAAAATGCCACCACCACTGAAAGGCTGGGAACAGGATTTGAACTCAGCGTTTCCAGAAACAAAGATAAGCTGGGTAAAATCAGAGCCGCTGGGGCTGTTAGCCTGCAAAGGCAGGAGTGGTGAGGACAGTAGTTGAGGAGGACACCCCACCTCTGACCCCAAGTCGGGACACAATTCATGATAGAGACATACCAAAGTAACCAGAAAGAGCACAGTCAGGAAGCTGGAGAATGCAAATGGGGAGTTTCCGAGGTGCTGCTTTTAGCCCGGGACAGGGTCAAGCCTGGCCCCGGGTGACCGCCAAATGCCAGTGGAGCTCAAAGCCAGGCCTGGCACTGCACGCCTGCCATCCCAGAGTTCCAGAGCCTGCAGTCTGAGGATTGCTTCAAATTCAAGGCCAGCTGGGAAGGGAGAAGGAGAGGGTGGAAGAAAGCTGGTACCCCAGCTGGGCTCACTAAACTCAGCCGAACCCAGCCGGACCACAGGGACTGTATGGGGTTCACTCCAAAAAGCCAAGCGGGGCCTTAAAGCCTCAGCCAGATCGAGGAGGAAGAACTCATGGTACAGTCTGAGTTTTATCAAGTCACTTGACTGCTTGGCAAAAAAGAACGGGGCTGGGGAGATGGTCCAGCAGTTGAGAGCACCGGCTGCTCTTCCAGAGCACCCACATGGCAGCTCAGTCATCTGTAACCAGTCCCCGGGGATCCCACACCCACTTCTCGTTCCGGAGGATACGGCACACATGCTGCACAGACACAATTTTAAAAAATGAGGGGAAAGTTGTTTTCTTCTGAAAAATGAAGCCCACTGGAGAGCAGCCTCTGTCGGTAGGGTGGAGTGTGACTCGGTGGTACCTGCCTGGAGTCCCCCAGTGAGGAGCTGGCTAGAACTCAGAACCTGGGTGCTAACCCTGGTACCCCCGACCCACTCCTATAATAAAAAGCATTACTTTGTTTGCTAACTTTAAAAGTTAACGACAAAGCCTCTGGATCCCCAAATTCATGTGGTAGGGAGCGAGCACAAGCGCACATTGTCAATGAACAAGATAAGCTGCCTTGAGATGTGCCTTGCATGGGTGAACGAATGTCCTTCGTGGGCAGCTGGGTTATTATCACAGACTGAACCCCACTGGGAAGCAGCTAGAGACTGCCCAGCTGGTGGGTGCCTCTGGCACATTCCCAGCACTGGTCAGCAGGGGGCGCTCACGCCATTCAGTTCCTTGCTAAGTAATTGTTCCTGCTCCGGAATGCACAGCCTGAACACCGCTCACTTGGGGACTCTGAGTCCCCTGATCTGGGCTGTTGTCAAAGCCCTTTCGATGCCACCACTTCTGCAGATGAGTGCCACAGCACTGGCATGGACCTAATTCATTAAAAGTTTCTGGGGTCAGTTGTGCCTTTTAATTCCAGGCCTGGGAGGGAGAGGCAGAGGCAGGCAGTCCTGAGTTCAAGGCCAGCCTGGCTGGTCTACAGAATTCACTACACAGTGAAACCCTGACTTGAAAAAACAAACAAACAAAGTGGGAAAGGAAGGAAGAAAAAGAAAAAGTTCTGGGTTCAATTTCAGGTAATCAGGCTTAGTAACAAGCACCTTTATTTGTAATAAACGTCAGGCTAGTTCTGTAACTAGACGTTTATTAGATGCGTGTGTGTGTGTGTGTGTGTGTGTGTGTGTGTGTGTGTGTGTGCGCTAGGAATTGAACCCTAGTCCTTTGGAAGAACAGATGATGCTCTTAACTCCCAACCATCTCTCCAGTTTCAGGAAGAAAGAATCTTTGCTGGCCTCGAACTCACAGAGCTCCCTCTGTCTCTGCCTCCTAAATGCTTGGATTAAAGGTGTGCACCACCACCAGCAGCTGAAGAATCTTAATTGAGAAAATGCCTCCATAGCCTGGTTGAAGATAGCTGTCTGAGGACCCAACCCAGTGTGGGTGCGGCCACCCCAGCAGGTGGTCCCGGGAGCTCTCTGGAAGCCAGCAGAGCAAGCCTGGAAAACAAGCCAGTAGGCCGCACCCCTCCATGACCTCTGCCCCAGTTCTTGCCTCAGAGTTCCTGCCCTGACTTCCCTTAAGGATGGGCTGTGCTCTGAAATAAACCCTTTCTTCCCCAAGTTTCCTATCACTGCAGCAGAAACCCTAAGACACCTGCTGAGTCACCTAGGCCCCCACCTCATTTATCCTGATTTTTCATTTTTATTTGGCTGAGTGTATACACATGTGTAGGTGCCCTAGAGGCCAGAAAACCCACCTAACTCTTCAGGGATGGAGTTAGAAGTATTTGTGAGCCTCCTGCTGTGGGTGCTGGGACCCCAGCACTGGGATCTTTTTTAACCTCTAGGCTAGCTAACCCCTCTTTAAATTAAAATATATCATTATCCCGTCCCCATTCCTCCCTCCAACAGCAGGGGTCTTATTCTATAGCCCAGACTGGCTGTGAGCTCCTAGCAATCCTCCTGTCCCAGACTCTGGAGTGCTGGTATCACTGTAGCTGACACCAGGCCCTCTCTGCCCTTGGCCCGCTACCAGCTGTCCGGTCAGCACCGCACGGCTAACACTGCATCTACACAGGCATCTCCTTGAGAACCGTGGTCCAGTTAGCACAGCACATATAACACTGCATCTACGCAGGCATCTCCCTGAGAACCGTGGTCCAGTTAGCACGGCTAACACTGCATCTACGCAGGCATCTCCCTGAGAACGGTGGTCCGGTCAGCACCGCACGGCTGACACTGCATCTACGCAGGCATCTCCCTGAGAACTGTGGTCCAGTCAGCACCGCACATATAACACTGCATCTACACAGGCATCTCCCTGAGAACCGTGGTCCAGTTAGCACGGCTAACACTGCATCTACGCAGGCATCTCCCTGAGAACGGTGGTCCGGTCAGCACCGCACGGATAACACTGCATCTACGCAGGCATCTCCCTGAGAACGGTGATCCGGTCAGCACTGCACGGATAACACTGCATCTACGCAGGGCATCTGAGAACCGTGGTGTTTTTCTTACTGTGGTTTTGAGCTTCTCGCCACCCTGCAGCACTTACAGGGCAGGACTTCCTGCCTGGCCTTCCTCTGTGGCCTCCAGGCTGCTGGGAACGCCCTCAGATTTCCACCAACACACGTCCAAACGCCCGAGACCAGTGGTTCTCGACCTTCCTAACGCTGCGGACTGCGGCCTTGAGTCCAGTTCCTCGTGTTGCAGTGACCACAACCATAAAATTATT